GTATGCAAACCAATTACACCTAGGGATCATATGGCGGTTGCATTGCACGTTTCTTGGCCGCAGCCAGCAGCAAACTCAAATGGAGTTGGGCCATTTGCCCAGAGGCTGCCGCATGGACGACAAGCCAGGCTAACGCAGCTGACGTTCATGAGTGCCCTTTAGGTTCTAAGTATAAAAGCTAGAATAAGCCCTACTTTACATTCTGCGTTAAGTACTACCGGTAAGGTGCGACCAATATTCACGAGAGATCCTGGGATCGAGCCACGGTAATAAGGTGTGCAATCTCAAGCCGTAACGATGCAATAAGAGAGGCAATGCGGATGTCGCGCGATCGATTAAGGCAGTGACTTGTGTATCTAAAGGGTGACTCGAAAGAAAAGCCTATTATGCGATGCCTGTACAGGTCCTATTATAGGGAATTATGTATACTTGCGTCTATATAGGCAATGTCGTTTACAACATCGAGTGTATACATACCTGTATACCGCATAGCCTAAACATCCCTTGCTACAGGTTATGATGTAAAAATGTACTTATAATACTATGCCAAAAATGATCGTATATTAGGCCATCACTTACACATGCGCCTCTTATGCCTAAGCCTTTAAGTCTCGTATAATACGTGTACACCTTACTGGCCTATATACCTTTCACCTATTTTCCCGAATATCTCGCCTATACAATGCCCGAAAAAATACAGACGTATGCACGTATGCCCCAACAACTATGGCAGTTGGATCCTTCATCTTCGCTGCAAACCGTACATGTCAGCTGCTTATATTTGCGAGGCGGTCAGCACCCTCCAACAATAAGCATTGTTCCACATTTAAAATTTCGTGTACATTGCCACATTGTTGTGTGCGGTCTCATGTCCGAAATTTTTTGCGAATGTATGAAGCTCTACTGAGTGAAAGGCAGAATGCCTGTAACGAAAGAGCTGAAGCAATTATTGCTCGCCATTCCAATACGGTTGTACGACAGTCGCACAGAACCAGACTTAGAGACTCCGATCGCTTCGCTCCGTCGTATCTAAGTCAACAATTCTGTGCTCCTGTCTCCCTTAACCGTATTCTCATGGCTATGTCGACTCGAACGTGCTGGCTGACCGTGCAAAGAATGGTAGAGACGGGAAGTGGGGAGACCAGCTGCCAAGGGCCCTTACACTGCAGACCGAAGAGATACCCCCTCACCGGCAAGGCCTAGGCGGCGGGAGACTTCAAGTTTGGCCGCAGTGTCGCGCCGCGTGTAGTGCTGTACCATGGCATCTGTGCACCAGCAGCCATGTGCCTTGTGCAACTCTGCCGGCAGAGTTGCCGGGACTCCACGGTCTGCTGCCGTGCTGTTCCCGCCTATGCACATGGAGTGCGCCTTGATGTGCCACGTGATGCCTGCCAGGGATACCATTTTTAGCAGTCGTGTGCGGAAAGCCGCGTACGATGGAGAATGCAGTGGTGCTTCTCGTATACCGGTCAGGGGTACCCGCCACACTGGGTCCATTGGACTGGTCGGAGGAGTGGTCTCACGTCTTCGTCTGCTGATACTGGCCGTTTGCGGTAGCCACCTAACTTCGGCAAGTGCTGCATAAGACCGACTGGGCAGCACGGGCCCCTGGAGCGTGCAATGATGACCCGGTGGCCACTCATGAGCTGGTCTGTCTTCGAGTGGGGAATGAAGATTTCCATGTGGGATGCGGAAATCAACAGCAAGTCCTCATGCACACAAGTTTCAACAGCATCATCGAACTGGAAGAAGCCAGTGAACATGATAGCCACCGCTGCCACCATCTAGTCTAGATGCGCCTCTGGGCCCTCCACTAGACTGGCAAGTGTCGCAATGTCATCAGGTTCCAAGGCGTCACACTGCAGTGGTCGACCATGGAGCCGCTTTCCTGTGAAGGTGTGGACTATAGCGCAGGCTGTGTGTTCTGTGGAGTAAGGCCAGTAGGTAGAGGGCGACCAGCTCGGCCCAACATCATGACTCCGTGAACAAAGGGTTCAAACCATGCGCCATCAGTGGTGATCCTGGCCCACCAATCCCTGGTCGGCCAGTGCGGTGCGATCAGGCACATGCGGGCTATGCAAGCCTCGGTGTGCAGCAGCACCTTAAGGATCAGGCTGAAAGGCGGATTGGCCCAGCAGCTGCGCCCCCAATGGAAACGGAAGGTGTCGACCCCGGCGGTGTGCCGCCTAGGGATTTGCCAGCTGCGTCGCAAAAAAAAAAACAGAAAATGCACCTGGGTGGGAACCCATAAATGCGGCGGCCGTTAAATTTGTCAAAGCAATTCTGCCAGAATTCCAGCTCCTCCTTCGCGGCTGGGGACAGATGGAGGTGGGACCCCCAAGCCGTCCGTGATTTGATGAGTTTGCCCTGTGACCAGTGTCCAAAGGCCCAAGGATTTGGCCTTTAATCGAAACGAGGGACTTCACCGGGATTCTTCGCCCACTGAGTGACAAACGAATAGCGGAGAGAAGTCTGTCCCTCTTATCTTCAGGAATGATAAAAAACCCTTCAGCGGTGTCAATTAGCATGCCCAAGTAGCGGATTCTTTGCTGAACTGCACCCAGCATGGACTTATTCCGGTTGACTATGAATGTGAGGGATTCGAGTTGGGACACCACCTCCACCCTCCATGCTACCAGCTGAGCTGCATCCTGGCCGGCATGAGCATGGTCGTCTATGTAGCCAGTGCAGTGCCAGCCACATGCACGCCAGGGACGCATGACCTCTCGCATGAGTTTGGTGAAGGCCCAGCATGCAGACACTAAACTGTCTTGAACTCCGAACACCTAGTATTCGTGATACTTCAGTGTCTGGCCAGAGCACCCCGCCCGGGTAGCTAATATATCTCGGCCTACCTGCCGGAGATTCCCTACCATGGTCCTGCCGTACTAGGATAATGTCGGTGGGGCCCGGGCCCCAGCCCGTTAGGTTTGCTACGAACAACCGCCATGTTCTAGACATATGAAGAAACTCGTAACATGTACGAAACTCGAGTCGAATCGTTCACGAATTAACAGTTATTGTCAAGAGTAATCGTTGAAATATTCTAAGGGAAATGTAGCTTACTACAATGTGTGTGTATATGTATGTGTGAGACTGTGTGTGACACTGTGTGCGTGTATGTGTGTGACTGTGTGCATGTATGTGTGTGACTGTGTGTGTGAGACTGTGTGTGTGTGTATGTGTCTCTCTCTCTGTGTGCGTGTGTGTGTATGTGTGTGAGACTCTGTGTGTGTGTATGTGTGTGTGTGTATGTGTGTGTGTGTGTCTCTCTCTGTGTGTGTGTATGTGTGTGAGACTGTGTGTGTGTGTGTGTGTGAGACTGTGTGTGTGTATGTGTGTCTCTCTCTCTCTCTCTCTCTGTGTGTGTGTGTATGTGTGTGTGAGACTCTGTGTGTGTGTATATGTGTGTGAGACTCTGTGTGTGTGTGTGTGTGTGTGTGTGTGTGTGACTCTGTGTGTGTGTGTGTGTGTGTCTCTCTCTGCGTGTGTGTGTGTGCATGTTTTCATGTTACTCCAAATCCACCAGTGCCCCAACAG